TTCCATCCAACTGGAGCAGAGATCATTGTGTTCTTTAAATTAAGACAAAGCACGCTTGCTACTATTGAACTCCAAATATTTTTTTATTGCTCTCATTTGATTTAAGAGGAAATAAGTGGCTTACTGCATCTTTAGGTGTCCACTTTTGTGTCTTTTTAACCCTAACGTAGGATTTGAAGAGAAATGTAGGAAGTACAATATCGGTGCATGGTCTTATGTATGAATGTTCTGTTTTTTGAAGAAAGTCCTTGAGCTTCTGGGACAGAGGGCCGATGCACCCTGGGGTGTTTATCTTCGGATTTACAATCATCAGCTTCTGGAACCTTCTCTAAATCTGCTGCAGGCAGCTTATGGCGCAGAGGAGCTCTACCGACCCATCTGGATCAGCATGGAGGACTTAGACAGCAGCAATGCCACAAACGTCTGTATTATTAAAAACTTTACTTTTTGAAATATTTGAGAAAATAAGAAAATATTGGCCATTACATATAGAAGGGCCGTTTAAAGCGATATGGTTTCTCTATGTAACAAAAGCCAAACGCATGGGACTGTTTCTTCCTTTTATTCAGTTCTTGATTTGCTCTCTGCATATCCGGTGTGTATTGCAGGACTTTGTGTCCAGCCTGGAGGAGTTGTTCCCATACGTCACTGTGGTTTCTGTTGAGCAGAACTGGCCGCCTCTGATCCCAGCGGCTCTGACAGGCCTGTCCCAAAGGGTTGCTGTACACCTGATGTCGGCATCGTTGCTCAAACCACAAGAAATTCCCTTTCTGGAGCAGGTGGACAAATATGACTTTGTAGTGGAAGTGGACCCAAAGCATGAAGCCCAAACCATTACAATTTTGGAAAAGCTCATGGCCCAACGAGCAGGAAACGCAAAAACAAATCTTTACATGATAAGCAGCCGATAAATAAATGACTAAATTATTGAAAAACACAATCATATGAGGCCCACTCCAAAAAAAGGAAATTAAAAACAATCCACTGGACTTTGTTTCTAAATTTGAAGATGCTTCGCTTCGCATCCAGGAGGCTTTTTCAATAAAAAATTCTATTCATTTTGAATTGAAAAAGCTTCCTGGGTGGGAATCTTAATGTCCTCTAACTTTGAAACAAATTCCCGTGGATTGTTTTTAATTTTCTTTTTTTTTTTGGAATGACTATGACCTCGATGACTGAGAATCTTCACCAGGATGTGAGGCCATTATGCGCCTATATCTGGAGGCTGAAAATGTAAAGTCCTGAAGTTATTTGCTTTTTTTTTTTCATTAATTAGTACAGAAAAATACTGATCAGTGATTAAGTGAAACTGAATAAAGCTTTCTTGGTCCTTGTTAGAGTGATACTTATAAAATTATTGTGTGGACATATGAAACATTGAAAGAAAGAAGATGCTACATTTCTATCCGGTGATTCAATCAGAAGGGTCATAAACTTTTATGACCTCCATCCAGTAGGTCATGAGGCAGAGTCACACGGTTGTGCGACTTCCATCCAACCAGATGGTCATTTCACATCTTATGACCTGCATCCTGCCAGATTATCAATACTGGGTCTTCTGTTTAAGGCCTGCCCTATTATGTTGTAAACTGTTAATAAAAGGCTTTGTTGTGAAGGGATCTGGGAGAGAGTGTGTGCTGGTTGGAGCCTGCAGATTCTCTCCCCTTTGCAGAGGTTGACTTTCCAAAACCCTGTCTGTGTTTGATCATTTCCTCTTAATCTTTTAAACTCACATTTCTCTGGATTAAAACCCAACAGTCTTCATTAAAGTATGTATTTTTTTCTTTTTGCACAACAATTGGGGAGTGTTGGCCTAGCGGCTAGAACAGTACACTTGCTCTGAGAAGGTTGCAAGTACCTGGTTCGATCAACACAGCCGGTTGTCTGGGTCCCTGATAGGGGTGTAAATAATAATTGTTTTGTATCGATGCATCCATCGAACAGTCGACGATCTGATGCATCGACACGTCCGCAAGAGAATCGATTCATGTTTTTGTTTTTTCCTTCCGGTCTATTTTTATCCATTTGCTCCGGGGCGTAATTCTCCTCCCGTGCTGCGGTGGCGCTAAACCTATTTTGCCCTCCTACCTCGCTTCCTGGTTATACTCTTACAGCAGAGTGTTGGAGTGAGCTTGACACAGACATTTTTGATTTATGCTCAATATTGAAGCATGGTCTGTGCTACACGCTGTGGGTCTAGATACGGCAGAGGCGGCGAGGAAGTGGGGGCGAGTTTAGTCCGACGACGGAGGGACATGAGGGCCAAAAAGAGCGGAGATCCAGGTGGTAAAAGGGTCCTAGTGTTCTCGCACACCTCGCTCTTCTAGCGGGTCAAACTTTACAAGTTTTTTTCCGCAATTTCGGTCATAAAAACAAAGCAAGCCGGCCTCCTGTCTGCGGCGCTGTCTGCGGTCAGCTATAATTTGGGAGAGGAGCAGCGGAGCGTCTGTGGAGGGGGCGGGACGTCTGGAGCCCAGGTATTGCATTGCACTCATTTAACTGATTATGTGCAGTATTTTTGTAGTATTTTTTGATGCAACTTTTCTACTTCTGTTATTTGCTGTTGATTCTCAAAAAAAATGCATAACGATATTACAGCTTTCATTGATTTATTTCAAATTTGAAACATTGTCTAGCCTGTAAGGTAAAAAAAAAAAAAAAGAAAAAATTAAGAAATTAATCGAATCGAATCGTATCGTGGTGTATTCTTGAGTATAGAAAATAATCGAATCATTGGGTCAGGAAATCGATACTGAATCGAATCGCCATGATGGATGTGATTTACACCCCTAGTCCCTGAGCAAGACCCTTAACCCCACAGTGCTTCTCGGATGCCACACAGTGGCAGCCCACTGCTTTCTAAGGGGATGGGTCAAATGCAGAGGTGAATTTCTCCAGCGTGAGATCAATAAAATCCAATTATTATTAATTGTAACAAGCTTCTTGATGGCCTACTTCAGTCATGCTTTTTCAGTATTAGCAAGAGCAAGAATAAGTTACTTGAATCATCAAATTCAGAATTTAAGCAAAACATTTTAAAGCTACAGTGTGTAATAATTACAGGGATATAAAGTCAGAAATGTAATATATTATACATAACTATGTTATTTATCATCACCTATGAGCTCAGCCTTTTAACCATAATATTTGCGTTGCCTTAGAATTCGTTATTTATAATTACATAGGAGCGGGTCTCGCAGCCATGGAGGCAGACATCTTTGAGCTACGGCAGCCCAGAGCCAACAAACTAGCGATTGCGAGATCGCCCATTACACTCGAAAGTAACTACGGCAAGTTGAGAGAGATGAACTGAGACGGTACTGAACAGTAGATGGCAGTATTATGCCTGAGAAGCATTTAGTCTGCCTGAAACCAAAGAAGAAGAAGAAGCAGGTATACTGCGCCTCAGTAACAAGAAAGGTGAACAAGGCGGCAGGCGTGAGTGATTTTGCAAACTGTTTGGCACTGTGTGGCCAAACATCAGACGAATGGAGGATCATGCCTACTCTGTATCACAACGAAAAGCGGCGGACACCGAACCCCCGTCATCTAAGAAGCGGAAACACGACGAGAATAAACGCAAGCGTGACAAGAAACGACAAAAAACACGGATCAACATTGGCACGGCATTTACACGATGGAAGTCACTGATGGAGGAAAAAGGTTTTCAAAGTGACGCTCAAGTTGCCAGTTTTCTCTTGGACAGGTAATTAATCCTACACACACAATTGTCTAATATCACTGCAGTTTTTGGAGTACAGGATGCTCAGACCTGTCTAAAACAATAACATGCTGCGTGATGATGCTGTTACTCTCCAGTATACTTATTCAGCAACGTCCCTGACATTTCACAGGTAATGATTCAGTAATTTTCTGTAAAATAATTTTCTGGATATATACCTCGGTTACTTCTCTCCGGCTCCTTTGGAGATCTTCAAGCCTTTCCCCTCTGCTCTATTCACCCCGCTGGCACCCCTCCCTCGCCTGGCCCTAGCTGCATGCCCTCGCCCTCTTCCTCTCCCTCTTCCTCGCCTTGTAACCCCCGCGCCACAAACAAGACTTGGACTCTGTAAACGGGGAATATATATTCTTCCAGCGAACACAATCTCGCTGTTAAACTAATGACTACAATTACTTCGTCTGTTTATATCACCATGCAAAGCAGCTCACCAAAACGTCACAACGACGTAGAAAAAATAACGGGTATATTTATTATCTAAAGTCTACATGAAATCTATACCCTACACAGACTAATGAAATACTATCTGTAAAATTATCTATGTAAACAAACCTCATCACTTGAGAAGGTACAGTAGGTGATTCCGACGTCGTGGAAGACATTTTGTCCCATAACGCTCGCCGTACTGTTGGGGGGGAGAAGCGGTGGGGGGGGAGACGTTCATGTTGCTGCAGTCTGCAGTCTGGACGTTAGATGTCGCTGAAAATTACACACTGTAGCTTTAACTCTTTCTTAGACAAAAACTGAGAACTCTAGGAAATGATTTTGGTTTCTGGGGAGCAGACAGATGATCATATGACAAATGGAATCAGTTCAGTAAATTAATTAGAGTTTGCTGGGCAGAGGGTCCAATCACTCCACACCTGTCCCCCTTTAAATGGCAATGCAACGATGTCCAAGTCCACTGGTCTCTCTAGCATCGCACAGGCTCACAACTTGAGCAAACTGCTCTTTGACTCGGCCCAGATGGCAGTCGTGGCAATGAAATAGTTACCGATCCATCAGAACGCCCCTAATGACCATTAACACCCCCCAGGTGAATCTTCATGGCCAACCCAGTAGGAGGGATCAAAGCCACCTTTTGTTTGATTTCTGTTCATCCCAGTGCTCCCCACCACTAATAGGAACTGAAGAAGCCTCTTGGTTGAGAGGAGAAACCTCTTCCAGAAAACTTCCTGTCCAGTTGCCTAAACTGAACCTCTCAAGTTTGACCATGACCTGGATGACTGATGATCATCACAGATATCTTACATGGATCACAAATCAGTATCATCAACACAGATGATGAGTAATGATCAGTGATCGGCTGTTTTATAGGGTTACGTTTCTGAACAGTTAACTCACCAGGGGTTCTGATCGTATCTGTGGCACACGGCTTCCCACTTCTGTCAAGAACCTCAAAGATCATGAAGGCAGAGTTAATTATCCCCCAATTAAACTGCCCTCTGAAAAACGATCTGTGCCGAGCTTAGATCAGTTAACCACGCCAAGCTTGGTTCCTTACGAGAATTTACGCCGCGAGCTAGCATGGTTCCTCGCCTCCTTGTGATGACGATCTATGGTACTACTGCTCTCTAGAGTTTGAGGAGTAAAAAAATTTTGAGATATGTCTGTTCTTAGCCTCAAAGGTTCCAAACGAAAGTCATGAGAGATAAGAGTGAGTTCACACAGCCTCCTTCATGGCATGGTAAAAAAGAAAACCAACATGGTGGCGCCCGTAACAGTCAGGAAGTTGTGGTTTGTTATTGTGTTATTTGGTTGTTTGTGGAGAGTAAGACGAAGAAGGCAGCCTGTGGTGAATTTACTTGAGAGAGTCGACTTTTGGGAAGTCGGTACGACAAACGATAGTCTAATTAGGGCTTACAGACGCTAAGCTTACAGATGCTAAGTAGAATCAGAATTGGAAATCGTGTGGCACCTTAGGGAAGCAGACACCTTGTGACGACAGATATGAGATATGTCTGTTCTTAGCCTCAAAGGCTCCAAACGAAAGTTATGAGAGATAAGAATGAGTTCACACAGCCTCCTTCATGGGATGAAGGCGAGGACTGCTGTTTTGAGAAGATCCATCTGGCCAGTGAATGATATATTAATCTAAGTGGGAATGACCTTGATGAACTGAATTTGTTTTTCCTCCAAATGTTTGTGTGGGAAAGTTCTTTGTATGCAGGGGTGGGGTGGTTCCATGGGAGATACATTTTGTTGGGATTTTGTAAGGTATAAATGTATTTACTGAGCTTTTCTCTCTGTCTAAGGACGTAAAATAAATATGTACCTTTTTCTTGCAAGAAATGCCTCTATTAGTTTCTCCAAAACTTTACAAGGTAAATGAGCAAACCAACATGGTGGCACCCCTAACATTCAGGAAGTTGGGTTTTGTTATTGTTATATGGCCTTGTTTGCAGAGATAAAGGCGAAGAAGGCAGCCTTTGGTGAATTTACTTGACAGAGTCTGCTTTAGGGAAGTGGGTATGACAAACGATAGTCTAATCAGGGCTTACAGAAGCCAAGTAGAATCATCACTGGAAATCGCGTGGCACTGTAGGGAAGCTAGGATTTTTATGTGTCTGAAGTTTGATGATTACAGAGGCTGACTGTAAGGATTACTCATTCTGCTCATGCACTTTATCTGAGAACTGAGTCAGAACTGAACTGCGCCGAGCCATATTGATGAGCTAGTTCAGTTCTGGCTCAGTTCTCAGATAACAAAGAGCGCATGAGCAGACACTGTCATCTCTTTAAAGTAAGACTATGGAGACAGTATAGCACCCGACTCTCTGCAAACAATGAATATCCCAATGATAAAACATAACTTCTTGAGTTGTACGGGCGCGGCCATGTTGATTTGCTTGTTTGCCCCTAGAGAGCAGTAGTACCGTAGATCGTCACTGTCTGTGTCCAAATTTGGCACAGATCGGTTTTGAGAGGGAAGTGTAAATGGGGCTATAAAACTTTTGTCATTTTGCACACAGAGTTAGCCTCGTGAGACCATCCTGATCTCGCGAGATTTCAAGGTTTCACTCGCAGATCAGTCTGGAGACTCTCCGTTAAAGAAAATTTGGAGCCGTTCACCAAACGAACGTCCAATCAGCGTTGGCTTTGAGGTGGGTAGAGGTGTGACGCAACGAGAAGCGCGACAGTTCAGTCTAAAGAACATGGCGGCTTCAGCCGATGAAACTAGCGTTAGCGTGGCTATCGAGCAAGTTTTATCGGAATTACAGAGCATTTCTTCACTGAAAGAAGAGCAAAACACTGCTCTGGAGGCTTTTCTCAGAGGAAAAGATGTTTTTGCTCTTCTCCCGACTGGTTTCGGCAAGAGTAGTCTGGCTTGTGGTTGTGTTTTCGTCGTCGCTCTGTTAGTACGTCATATGCTTCGTTGATCTGATTGGTTTATTTGGCTCGTCTATCACCAACATAGGCCAATCAGCTAACCAGTATTTTCGCCCCTTCCCAAAATTACTTCAACAGAAGGTTTCCAGATGGATATGTGGAGCAAATCCATCTGGCGGAGTCAGGTTAACACAGAACTGTACAAAACAAAATTTTGTTTTGTACAGCTCTTACATTTCCAGCACTGATCAAATGTAAAGTGTGGGAGAAAAAAAAAAGGTGCAAAAAAAATGTGCTGATATGGGAAATTCAGAGCATTAAATATATATGGTGCAACTATGCAGTGTATTGTCAAGCATGTCTTTGATACCGCTATGCCGTAACTGATGCAGTTCAAACCTGAACATGACTTGTTTGAATTGTGTTTTAGTCAAAGTATTTTCATTTATGGTTTCAGAAACTTGAAGGTTTTAGCTTTCAAATGATGTATCACATGTGTAATTTAGGCTTATAGTTCCTTAGTTATTTGCTTTTCCATTTGGGTATGCAAAAAGATGAGGATTACTTAAAATTAGGTGGAAATTATTAAAGGGTATGTATACTTTTTCAAGGAACCGACCTCAAAGTTTGCAGGATTAATAAAATAATTTTAAAAAAGCAAGCGTGCAGGCAGTGATGTAAACAACATTTTTATTTTCATGATGTAAATTATATTACCTTTGAAATTTGCTTCAGTTGTACTTGCAGCTACACACCAACTAAAACATTGATCACTGATGTGAACTAGTTCAAACCAGTTCTGCCACTGCCGTCTTTGAAAAAAATACCACACTGCACAAAAACGGTGAACAAGTGATGAGCTTTAAAACAATGCAAATATCACATTCAGTATAAAATATAGAGCAACATATACAGGTTTATCAAATTTATCACATTTTATTTCCTCTACTTTGCTTAATATGTGTGTAAAGAGCTTTTTCCACACTATGAACGTCTTTCAAGTCGAGACCCAAAACAGAACATGAGGCGCAGTTTTCAAAGACAAGGCAATAGACGTCCAACATATGGAAGCATACAGACCTCTTTGGGCCATAGTCTTGGCATTTTGTGAAGCTGCTCTCTAAGAACGGACGTCCTTAGCATTGCTTGTTATTAACTGTGATTTACAGCCTTGGCCTCAAAATAAGGAGACAATATGTGCATTTATTACTAGAAAAGTGAACAACATGATTATTTATCTGATAGTCAGCATGGAACAACATTTAAATGCCCCAACAGTAACTGTAACCGAAGCACCTATCAGAGAAAAACAAAGGCCATGATAATAACAGAAAGGCCTAAAAAACATCTTTATGTCAATGATCAATATCATACCTTGATCAGGAAGTGCAAAACATTTTTTATTTCATCCCTTTAAGTTATTTTCAAGTGTTTCTAAATGGATTAGGGACATAAAATCGCATCGTTTATGACCGAGATAATCCACCGATTTACAAGACATAACCACAACCTTCAGTGGGGAAGCCATTACTGAAGGAAAACTCAACGTTGGCTGTTTCTAGCATCAGTGAGCTGCTTAATAAGGTTAGAGCGTTAGAAGCTCACAGGAAGGAAACAGAGATGTGTCGTTTACTACTTTAAGATGAGGAGGAACCGGAAAGCAGAACAGATTTCCAGAAAACTCCAGGGAATATAAACACATTTCTGTTTATAGCTGTAAATGCTAGCCACTCTAATAAAAGATTATCAAAAAATTGGGAAGAAAGGTTGATTCAGTAGTTATGCTTTACAGCTATTGCATGATTTCTCTCACAATGTATTTTTCCACATACAGTGTGATGCCCTCGCTCACAGCAGATAGATTGAAAAAACAAAACAAAAAACAACAACCAAAAATGACATTGTCAGGGTCGACGTTTGTAGAATCAAAAGAAGAACCTGCGCCATAAATGTACTCTAATTCATGACCCGAAAAGCAGGATAGTGCCATTGGGTTCATTTGGTTACTAAAAATGTTTATTCACATTTTCTGGTGCATAATTTAAATCAGGGAGACCCCAATTATCAGTACCCATGTTTTTGCAAATCTTCAGCAATTTTTTTTAAAAGTCAAAAGGAGAATATGCTAATTAGATGCATTTCCATCATCAGTTTACGTTACGCTTGGCTATGGTAAACATGAAATAGAGTTAGCAAGCTAGCACAGACCACAGATCAGTGATAGACTGATGTTTTAGGGAATGTTAGAATAAGGCAAGTTGTAAGTTACTTTATCATGTCAGCTAATATTAGCCACAGTTCATGGGAGACATCGAGAGAGAAGTTTGATTCTAATGCTGCATTCAGAATGGCATCAGCGGTAGAAACACTTGATCTGTCCTGTGGGGGAAATATTCGCTACATCAGAACAGATATGAAAAAGAGTTCCTATCGCCTCTTTAGTGAGTTTGGCTACCGCAGCTGGGCTTTAAAACTTCACTGCAAAATTCACAGAAAAAAGATGATGGAAACGAATCCATTCACTCTGCAGAAAGAATAGTTTGCTGCAAGTTTTTCACTGTTCAGGAACTGTACAATTCCAGGACTCTAGGGCAAGCAGAAAATGAACCCTTGCACTTGACTCCTCCTCTCTGTTTGGAAACAATCTGTTTTAGATTTTCCCCTCTAGCAGCAAGAAGTTGTGGTCAATCAGGACCAAAACTTTTCACTAGAGAAAACAGCTTCTTCCCATCTGCTACTAGCCTGCTTAACAAGGCCTGGACCCCCCACTGACACTTTCTGCTCGCTAAGATTATGAATACCTCACTGTGTGTAGCAAGTATACTTTGTTTAATTGATGCTTCAAGCATAGAACTTTTTTTGTAAATGCTCATTCTTTAAAAAAAAAAAAAAAAAAAAAACCTTTAAAAAAATTACACTGTGAAAAACATTTTCTTAAAAATGGTTTTGGGAATAACTTGGCTGTTTTCTCAGATTTAATTTTAAATGCATTTATTTTATTATTTACATTTCCTCTTTTAAAATTTAGTTTTATAAAATCATTACTTTTTTAAATTCTGATCATATTCTCTTCAATTTAAGCCCAATGGATGGAGACAATGTTGCCATCAACCACGCAGGCCGATAGATGCAACTTTGCTTTTCACTCCAGATAAAATCCCGCCCCCAATAAAAGGAGAAATTAAAATAAAATTTGTATATATCAAACAAGCAAGGTTAATCTAAAACAGTTTTTTTTAATAAAAACATTTTTCAAAAACGTATTCTTTGTTTGCAACAATAACGGAAGAACTTCACTTCATACAAGAGAAAATACAATTTCATTTAATCTCATACTGTTACTATTTTGAATATTTGCCATGCAGCTCTTCCTCTGCTAAAAGTATGCTATTATTCTCTATTCTCGTAACATTTCCATATTCCTCTCTGAACTTATCTGGATCAGTGGGTTCAGGTCAGAAGAGACAGATTTTTATTTTAATCTTCATCTGGATTTGGTGTAAAAGGAAGAAGGATTATGGAAAACAACTTCTGCGCATTAGCAAGAATGGAAGCGGATCTGTGAAGCTGTTGGTGCTTTTCTCTTCTAAAAGATCAACAAAATGAGAAGCTGGCATCATTAAGTATTTAAATAAAACATATTTTAAAGTATGATCTTGTTGAGGGGGCTAATAAACTCAAAATGGATCATTAAAGAGTCTCTGACAGGATCATGATCCAAAATGTCAGAGGAGAAGTCTAAATGCTCTTTTTGGTGGAAAAAATTTTCAATGTTCTATTATTTCTTTTCAGGTCTGCTGAAAATTAAAGCAGGATTTTTTCAATACTTTATTCATTTTAAGTTTGTTTTAGACACCAGTGGTCTTAAAAAAACGACAGTGTGGATAAAATGAGTAGAAATCCTGCCAGTTTTTATCTTTAACAGACAAACCGGTTGTTTCCGCTTTCTTTTTAACGGCATCATGTCTGGTGTTTGCTACTAATCGGTTTCTTCTACAAAGGACTGCTACGATAGAGAAAAAATAAAGCACTCTGATTAAATTATGCTACTTAGACTGAAGTGGATGGTTTTACTTTCAGCGTGTGACTTTTTAGAAAAAAAACTACAGCTCTCATTACAGCAAGAAATTTAGTTCTGGAAGAGTTCGGAAAAGTGCAAAAGTAGGAATACTGAGTGAGGTGAAGGCAAAGGACAGGAAAGAAATAGCAGATAATCACTTTTATCATCCATCCATCCGTCACACTCGCCTCTCTTATTCTGGGTTTTATAATACAAGCTAAATAGGATGGATCCAGCATCTGTCTGACTGAATCCCAAACTGTGAGGGAAAACTGGACAGAGTAGAAATGGGCACTAATTTCCCATTTCAGGAGGAAACCCGATTTATAACCAGGCGTTTTTTTTATAGCGACGAGCCAACAGTCCTGTTTCCTCCACTAAATAAATAAGCACCAACAAGAGGAAATGCACACACACTCTGAACACACCAAAACAGGACCAGACTGTTAAAAACCTTTTGGTTTCCTCTCCAATCCAACCCATTTTACACACAACACTGGTACAGTCTAAAGCCTTTTGGTTTCATAAAAAAAACCTCAATTTTTTTAGTTGGTATGCAATTTGTACCATAACCGGTAGCCAGCTGAAAGACTGAGCTCGACATGTTGAGAACAGAGCTGTAGTGTCGACCTGAAGAGTTTCTGTTAGCTTTCCTCAGGGTGTTGCTAAAAGTTCCTGTGGTTGCTGTAGGAGACGGAGAGCGGCGGCGCGCTGGGGACGGCGGCGCTGGTCGGGGAGCAGATCTCCGGCGGGTACGGCTTCAGGCCTCCCTGGTTGTTGTCCACCAGCTTGCGCACGACGATCCGGCAGAAGTCCTCGTCGTGTTTGTGACAGTTGTCCAGCAGCTGGCGGACCTTGGCGGTGCGCGTGGGCTGGTTGACCACCAGCTCGTAGTCTTCTCGCATCAGCATGGAGCGGGCGAGCAACGCGTCCAGACTCTGGTTCAGGCAGGCCTCTGTCATTTGGAGGACGATGTCCTCTCGCCGCATCGCTATCCAGCGAGCGACGGGGCCTTGGGACGTGGCGGGGCGGTGCAGAGGAGGCGAGTGATCAGCTGCAAATTAAAACAGATAAATATGCTGATGAAGATTCTCACTCATCCAGGTCATAGTCATTCCATAAAAGTAAAAAAAAAATTCCACGGGACTCCATGGTTTCCAAGATTTGAAGACGTTTGGCCACCTCTTTTTCTTGAATTGAGAAAGCTTCCTGGAGAGGTGGCGAAACGTCTTTTTTTAACTTTTACGGAAAACCAGATAAACAAGACATTTAGCTTTATTCTCTCACATTTGGCGGCCATCATCTGACCGATCGTACCTTTAAGGTTGAGGTTCTCCATCGATGATTCAGCCTCGGCGGTAGGCATGGCAGACGCGATGGGAATGTTTAAATCATTCATAAGTTTGTTGGGCTGGAAGCAGCTGACCTCACGGGGATCCTTCAGAGACTGTGGATGCTCCAGATTGGGAACTATGAAGGAGGAGGGAAGGCTTTCTACCAAAACAAGAAACTAAACTCAGAACCCATCGTCAAACTGAGGATAGGACGAACTTGCGTTCGTCACGTAAAACGATGCGTTTAAAGTCGTAGGGAAACGGCTGTTCCAACCATTGGATTTCTGAATTCTCCCAGTTCTGTTAGCTCTACGCCTGCCGAAGACACGGACGTCCATCCCCGTGAACACTGGGACTAGGCCTGTCTCGATAATCAATAAATCAATTAATCGCACGATAAATATAAACTATCCACGTCATTTAATATATCGGCTATATCGCCTCTGCCTGTGTTTTTCTCTTTCTATTGATGACGCTGGATGAAAAGGCTTAATCCCGGTGCTTTCCACCGACCCCTACCCTTCCTAATTTTTTAGGAGTGGACAGCGTAGTTAATTTAATTGCTAAAGAGATGCTACCATTTAATATTGTTGAAAACAAGTACTTCGCTCTGCTACGTTGGATATGTGGTCAAGTTCAAGTTTTTTTATTTTTTTATTAAAGCTACAGTGTGTAATTTTCAGCAACATCTAACGTCCAGACTGCAGACCGCAGCAACACGAACATCTCCCTCCCACCGCTTCTCCCCCCCAACAGTACGGCGAGCGTTACGGGACAAAATGTCTTCCACGACGTCCGCATCAGCTACCTTCTCAAGTGATGAGGTTTGTTTACATAGATAATTTTAATACTGCCATCTATTGTTCAGTACCGTCTCAGTTCATCTCTCTCAACTTGCCGTAGTTACTTTCGAGCGTAATGGGCGATCTCGCAATCGCTAGTTTGTTGGCTCTGCGCTGCCGTAGCGCAAAGATGTCTGCCTCCATGGCTGCGAGACCCGCTCCTATGTAATTATAAATAACGAATTCTAAGGCAACGCAAATATTAAGGTTAAGAGGCTGAGCTCATAGATGATGATAAATAACATAGTTATGTATAATATATTACATTTCTGACTGTATATCCCTGTAATTATTACACACTGTAGCTTTAAATGGCAGTTTTGCCATCTTTTATAAAATCTAATGATATACAGACTTTATTATCTGTACTGTTTTGGTTGAATGTAGTTTTTATTTCCACTATGCTTTTATCTTGTTAGTTTTTATTCAAGTGCATTTTTAGTTAACAGAGACTGAGAGTCCATTTGATTTTTATTTCTCGTTTTATTTTGTTGTCTTTGGCAGAAAATCGCATGCATTATTACGTAATTTCCATTAAATCAGTGTAAAAAGGTCTTCAAACAATTTTATCCTTTATCGCAATAATTTTCTAGACAATCGTTCAGCAAAATTTGTTATCGGGACGGGCCTAACTGGGACGGAACTCAATGGGAAAGTAAATAATTCTTATTTTAACTGTTACGTTTATTAGCTGTGACAAATGAATGAAGATGTTATGACCGAAAAAAGTTGATTGACAGATGGACGTTGATATACGATTGGCCGAATTTAGGTGTTCAGGCTGACGTAGAACTAACTGGCCTGCAGAAGATAACAAAACAAAAACAAAAACGCTGATTTTAAGATAGGATTTTTGTTTAAATAGAAATTTTCAAAATTTCTGATAAAGAACACATTTATATAGATATTTAAGTCAGAATGATTTGACATTTAAATATGATTTCCCTACGACTTTAAATAGAGCTTTATGTGACTGATCAACGCAAAGAAGCAAAAAAGTGGTCAAACAGATGCTTTATGCGTTTATAATTAACACTTTTCTTCCAAGAAGCGGCTTTCAGGGTAGATGCAACTGAAGACGCCGCTTGTTCAACGTCAAACAGCATAATTCAGTCTGACTGGATAGATAGCATCAGCTTCCCCACTAGCTGAAGGTCTAGACTTTGACTAGGCCAATCAGACAGATAAACATCCTTTAGAAATGTTCAGTTGCTTCAGTGTTTCTGCATTATTTTGTGTTGCGTCAGTCACATAACGACATTTCTGCATCACATAAGTGATGTAGGTTTTTGAAACAGTGATGGCAGATCAGGAAAGAGATCGTTACGTTTAGAGGAAGCAGCATGAGTGCTGATGAGGGCGCCTGGCAGGGAGATGTTTTCCTCCTGAGGGGAATAAGATCCTGAGCAGGAAGCTGACGAGGTGCACTGTTGAGAGAGAACAACACATGGGAGTCAATATATAAACCAGAGGGAGAGGAGAGCATCACTCTAACCTTTCAGGCTACTTTCTATTTATAGACAGACACTCACTTTTTTCCACCAACAAATTGAAGGTTTCCTTGTCCAAATGCTTTTAAGCCTTTAAAGAAAGTTTATATTGTGGGAAAAATCTACTTTTATACCCAGGGTTCCTACAGCATAAGGCAAGTTAAATTCAAGACTTTTTAAGACTTTTTAATGCCACTTGAAATAAAAATTTAAGACCAAATTCACAAGAAACACAAGAAAAACCTGCTTGCGACAACTTTACCCAAAAGTTTAATTTAACATAAACCACTGCACTAATGTTTCAAATTTTGAAAAGCTTCCCATACAGGAAGAAAGCTAAAAACACACAAATGACAGATATATTTTAACAATTATTTAACTGAATTCACAAACTTTGTTTTAGCAGGGAACAAAACAAATCAGTTTTAAAGCCCCAACATAACCAGTGCTAAGTCTTTTTTGCAGCTATTTTTCTTTGTATGGTTTTCTTAGTATGTTTGATTTGGTGATAAGTGGAGGCGTTGCAGAGACAAGGGTGGAACTAAACTGAGAAATACCGGCTGTTTCTCTGTAACTCCATTTTGACGCTTTGTGTTTCGTGCTTCGCATGTGCGACTCCACTGCCTTAATTCCCATCGTTCTGAGCTTGAATGACTTCTTGCACAAAATCCACTGAGCCTCATGTATGTTCCCTGGTTTTAGCCATGGAGGAAACTCTTGGCTGGAGACAATGGATTACAGGATCCTTAACCGGAACAGAGTGTTTCTACCAACATTGGACTTTACAGAGCGAGGTCAATGTATTCGTTTTTGGCTGATATCGGACTGATTTCTGATATCAATATTGGATCAGGATTTTGGGAATTGATGTGAAAATGTAGAGGCGTCAAAAATTATTTAAAAAACGTTAAAATGAACAGCTGTGCACCTTGAACAGAAGCTGCACCCACAAAGTAGCAAAAAAAAAAAATGGATTAAAATATCAGTAAATACACCCGTCTGAACCGTCACCATGGTTACATTCCTGACAGCTGTAGTTCTGTATCAATAAAAAGCATTGCTGTCTAAACTGTCCTCCACCACGGTGTGACCCGCATTGATATCTAAAAGCAACAATAAGGATTTTTCCACAGCATTAAGCTAAACAAACCAGATAAGCTTTTACTGTTCAACACAAAGCAATCTTTGTTAGTTTGGTAATGATTTCTCAGTGCTGGGTTTCTGCACAGGTTACACATATAAACCAAACAAAGTGAGGTAGGCATTAATATCACTATTATTATGCATAACAGTTCATGTTAAAACGAACCCATTCCTTTATCAACTTCCAGCTAAATTTACTTACTTTTGTTTTACAAAATTTGCATGTTTCTATATTTACCAAACATGCATACTTTAGAAAAGAACAAGTTACATCTCAGGTATTAACAGTTCCGATATAGTTTTGGACCTCGCCACAGCACAGAAAACCAACCCCTTAAACATTGTGGGCTTTGAAGCGTTCTTGAGGCTGGACATAAGCATTCGAAACCATCACTCGCACCATTCTCCTTGAGAAAACTATGATCTACTGAAAAATCAGACCTCTCAGGTTATTCATCTAAAATCAGCCAAATCCCAGCCATCTCCTCTCCATTGGTGTCCCTCAGGGTTCCGCTCTTGGTCCTATCATGTTCACAATTTAGTTTTTGCTCATTTGCTTCTTAAATTCAACATCAATGTTCACCGATATGCTGACGATACCCAGCAATAAACCGCCACTAAACCCTCCTTTATCTCCTCTAGTTTTCAATTAACTTTCTAAAACTCATTGAGACCTAATCTATGCTACAGAGTCCTTCCAGTTTTACTCTCATCAACAACAACTCAACCAGTCTGGTTAGGAGTCTGGTTTTTTTTAAACCCACATCAACAGCACCATCCAGCCCACCTACAGCTGGCTATTTACACTTATAGACTAGGAATAGCTCAGATTGCTGCCGCCTGATTCATCTCCAGAAGAACAACCGATACGTTTACCTGTATATCAACAACTTCTCTAGACATCCAGAATGTTTATTCTAGATATGAATGATGTCATTTTGTTTGAAATTGTCATTTTGACAAGGAAAAAAAATTATTTTCAAATATCAGGAATACATATGCAGTCAAACTAATATATAACAAAACGGCCTGCCATAGCCTGTTGTAAACATAAAAACATTATAGGGATGTGGAGGCAAGGAGATATTTTTTGTCTTGTGTTGTAGGGTGCATGTGTTAGATGTATGTAAGGGCATGTGTGGGTGGAGCTATAAGTCGGTGTTGCATGTGTCTGGAGCTGAATGATTGTCTAATGAATATCACCTGGATCTGCTCAGCTTTCTGTTGGTTTGTCTGATACAGAGAGAGGCTAAGACAGAGTGCCAATATTTCTGTTGACCGCAAGTTTAAAGCCTATAAAGTTTGCAAGTCTATTTATTGTATAATGCTTCACAGGGAAATTGTTCAATAAACATCCCTAACTGCAGTAAAGCTTTATGTGTCATCCTTGGATTGAGCACGTTGAACATCCCTGCTCCCCTCTTTGCGACTAATTTTTGGATGATAGTCACTTACTGGGGAAATTAGATTATTGCTTTAGTAGTGGTAGTGGATCAATGTGTCCATTTAGGTGAAATCATCTGGCAGCAGGTAAAGATAAACTATAAAAACATTGTTCTAACAGGTAGGACCTGTGCATCATCTCATGGGGTTCCTCCTCATGTAAATTCTGTCTTCTATCACACAGGCATTTTCCGGACGCTTCGGAGTTATATCCCAATAAATGGTAATTATTAGTGGTTATCGGTCCCACAGAATGGCTTCACAGCTTGCCACTAGGCTCAGTAGGTTATCACAGAAGGAATCCTAATCCTGAGGTAATTAATTTTCCCCGCTGAATTCATTAATCTATGGTTAATTGATAAACTGCAGCGGTATCTTCAAAGGTGGATCAGACAAATGCAGCTGATCCAGAGTACTGTCTGCATCTACTGTCTACTGTCAGTCTATACATCATTGAATAGATCAGCACCTAATTACAGGCTTGCTGTCAGTGGATCAACAGCCAGACTTCTTAGGTCTACTGTATCTACTTTCTGTACACACACAGAAACTAGGTAGGGGTGGAACGGTTCACAAATTTTACGGTTCGGTTCACGGCTTCTGGTCACGGTTTTCAGTTCGGTTCGCTATATGTTGATTGTTACACCGAAATCCCATAAAAATTATTGAAATTAATGAAAAAAATCCCCAAAAATTAATGAATTGTAATTTTTTTTAATGATCCGCGGAAACCCTGGATCATTTCCGCATGTTTTGCTGCTTTGAATTTAATCATCTTGCGCATGCCCTCTACCATCTCCAAGGAACTCAGAGCGAAGCCGACAGGAGTCACAGTGGAGGCTGTAGGCTTTGCTTTGTGCAGCCGGTCTGGAGCGCAGCGGGGGGGAGCGCTGATGGAGTATGTGGGATTTCGGGGTTAGCCTGACATGTTGGTCATGTTGCTGTTAGCATAAACAAGACGTGTTGCACAATGCTTGCACACTGTTGCACTTTCATCCACAACTTTCTTTCCACCGTCATCGTAGGTCACTCTAAATGCAAAGTGGTCCCATACAGCAGACCTATAAAGTGCTGCTGGCACGTCTTCCAACTCTTGTTCTTTCCCACTCGCCATACCCACACAATTCTCCACAACAACTGATTTTTTCCTGCTACACCCGGCTACGCTGCTTCTTCTTCTTCTTTTTGTTTACTACTGGTGGTTGGCTTTGGTCGCAGTAGCGCCACCTTCTACTCTGGAGTGTAATCGCTTCACCTATGAGAAAAAGGAGCAGCGCAAGAACCGAACGCAACACACGCGAACCGAACCGAGACAGTCGAACCGAACGGTTCGGACGGTTTTCATAAACCGTTCCATCCCTAACAGAACCAGAACCAAACATGGAGAAGCAGGTTTAGGTATAAGCTCCCAGAATACTGTAAGAAAGCTTAAACCCTGAGATGCTTTAAATCAAGATAAAAAAACAAACAAACTATGCAATCTGAACAGCAATAGTTAAGTTTTCAATCCAACTTTTTTTCAACTGCAGTAAAAGAGCATGGAGGGAACAAGCTGCAGAGATTAGTGTTCTCTTTAAATCTGGACTTGAGACACTATGAAAACTAGAATTAATAAAAGGAAGCAATAAAAAACAATCATAAGAAACCAGTGGAACAAGCTGCTGTGGTCACATGAGACCGAAACTGAGGCTACATACAAAATGAGAACACATCAGCCCCTTTAGATGACGAAACACGATCGCGATAGCGTCATGCTTTGCTGTCACCATTTTTTTCATATACTAACCTTATTTTAAATATTCATTATTATTATCTTTAATTATGTGTGTTAACTTTATGCCACAGCAATGTACTTTTCTTTTCCTTTATTTTCCCACTAATGGCTCTTTGCATTGTCTTCCTACAGAAATACTCTGAACAGATAAAGTTACTTTACCTCCAGACACATGGTCTTATAATAAAACACTTAAGCTCATCATCAAGAGTAACAAAAAACAAGGAGTAAAAACACAAGAATCTGACAGGGTGTCATAGTTTAATGGGAAAGCCTTTTGTATGCTAACAGACTGAGGGTTACCTAAGTACAATTAAGGGATCTGTTATCACATTGCATCAACATAGTTTTGTTCAACATGCTTGTTTAAGAATAAGTGAATACTAACCAGAGGCCATGGGGTGGCGGGTTCCTTCAGGTTATTTAGAGACCCGGCCTCGTTTCTCTTCTCATGCTCTGCAGGCTGAGATGAACAGCAGTCTGATCCACGTCTCAGCTGTAAAGGAACAGAAAAGACGGGACAACGTTCCACATAAGAAAGCAGTTCGACTAAATCTACCAGAACAGATTGAGATCTGAAGGAAAAAAGGAAAATGAAACTGAAAGGGTAAAAGCTATTTGTTTTTTTTTTATTAACTAAAATATTACATTAAAACCAGCATGTTTATGTTTCAAACCATTAGAGCACAAAAATGATTTGAATGTTTTTCTCTATGAGCTCATCATTCTGTGCTTCCTCCTCCAGCTCAAACTGCCCGGAGAGAAGATGACCTCACTTTTGGGCTCACAAATGCAGTGAAACTACAAAAAAGAGAAGGAAGCCTGGAAGGGGAATTTTCCGCCCTTGAAACACGTCACACCACAGTTCAAACTGTCCCAGATTACACAGCTTTAATATTCAGCCTTTTATTTGTGTGATTGCATCATTACTCAGGCTGAGTGGGTGAGCCCACATTCCCTAACCGAGACATGGATCAGTGTGGTAGAGCTGGGTATGAATTCAGATTTCCTAAATCAATCGGCTCTAAGCACAACTCCATTACTTCCTGAACTGAGGCAGCTCTTTTGTTTCCTGTTTTTCATTACCGGATGAACCGATTGATCCAGGTGTGTCTGAATATGGTTACTGAGGTCAGGCACACCTGGATTAATCAGTTCATCCAGTAGAAAAACAGAGGAAACAAAGAAGCTTCCTTAAGTTCAGGAATCAGTGGAGTTGTGCATAGAGCCCATTGGATTTAAGCCTGATTTAATTCCATTTACGATTCAATTTAAATGCTTTGCGATTCAGTTAAGGATACCCCCTGTTACCAACTTTGATATGGATGACATTCTCAAAAGATCTAATACCGCAAACGGTGGAAACTACTACTAACTTGGTGTATTAGTAAAATATTAATATTTACATTAAGAATGAAACCAACTGCAGCTTATTTAATAACGTGATTTCAATTCAACATAACCTGACAAAAACAAAGCTATCAAACCCTGGTATGGACTGTCGGAGAACGGGAGCACGCAGCATAAATCTGGGTCAATTTGAACAGAAGCGTACTGATGACATCACCACACGCTCAGCTCGTCTAGAGCTGCATTTCACCTCCTGTTATTAATAGACTATGGATAAAAATAAATTCTTACTTTTTTCATTTAGTGGGGGGGATAATAATGAACAAATAAAGCAAAAACCTGCCATCAAAGCCAGCGGTCCTTCACACATGGCTATGCAGAGAGAGGGCCGCTTCAGACGGGCTAACATTAGCCCTGGCTGCAGTTAGCCTCGGAGGTCCGCTGGCTGCCGCGGTCCTCTCAACTTCTGAATTCTTTTTTTAAATTACGCATTAAATCGGTAAATGCGCCATATAGTGATGTTTAAAAGTCTTAATTTATCTTAAAAACTTCTTTTATAGAACAACAGAAAAGATAACTTTTAATTTAATACTCTGAGCTCTGTGAGCGCCCTTTTGGAAGCTGCTGCTTCCGCAGTGCATGCTGGGACAGCTGTCAATCTCAAGAAGGGGTACAAAAACAAGGTCCGGGGACTTTTTCCGTTCTCTGCCTTTTTGTTTTTGTGAAATGGAGCAGCACTAGGGAGTACATGAGAACGCACAAGTACACACATTGAGAAATGGCCATGGAAAGCTTCTTGACTAACCTTTGACCTCTTTATCTCCAGCACAGCCTCCAGGAACTCTATCTCATCGAATCGCCTCACCATCGGCTCCAGCTCAATTAAACACTCTAAAAAAAAACAATGAAACCAGAAACGTCAGATACTTTTTAGTGCTCTTATAACACACTTAAGCTGCTGCTAAGAAGCTGGCAATGAGCAATGACACATCTCAGCAGTTTCGCTCTTATCTTGACATTCCTCTTTGTTTATTTTACAGACAGGCTGTGACAGTGAAATACACTGAAAGCTGACTTGGCCAATAATAGCAATGAGAATAAGAAAAAAAAAAGGTCTCCTTACTGAGAAAAGAAGGCCGCTCGTCGGGGTTAGCGGTCCAGCCGCTCGTCATCAGGCTGATGAGCGTCTCTCTGCTGGGGATGTCTGCAGACAGGCTGCCCTGGCTGGTGTCGGGACGTTTCCCACGCAGCACGCTGAACATGATCTGCATGGGGTTGGTCACCTCTGAACACAGAGTAAAACGTTCACTTTCAACACAAGAGAGAGAAGATAAGCATGGAAGCAGGTCTGGGAGCAAAGAGGAGTCACCTTCATAGGGAATCTGCCTGGATAGCACCTCCCACATAATGATGGCATAGCTGTGGAGTAGAGAGAGAGCACAGAGAGAAACCAGTCAATCACAGCTCTGCTTTCTGTTGGTTTTTCCCCTTCAGCAGCAGGGATACCCCCCCCCTTAGGCGAGCTGACCAGAGAAGCAGGTTTAGGGAAGTGTGACGACTCGTCGACTGAGCTGAAACAAATCGGAAACTGCTTAGAGGAAAACGAAAGTCATTTATTTTAATAGCAATCATTTCCTCGCTCACAAATCCTGAGGCCGATACCATTAAATATTCCTCATCAGCGCCTGAGGCTGACGGTACGCAGTTTCCCCACAGCAGGCGGGGGAACCACCTTCTGTTATAAGGTCAAACATCTGAGTCCCATGAGTTCATACGGAGGCCGTGGCTCTGGCCAAACTCCTTTAACTTTGGCACATAATCACCATCACGCGTTGTAGTGAAGTGGAAGGAAAAGGGCGAGTTAGTTTCACAATTCTTAGCAAATGCAAATCTGAAAAAGAGCGAGTAGGTTTGTTTCCAGTCCTCCAGGGTCGGGACTCTACAGAACCGTCTGAATCTTTCTGGAAAAGTTTGGAGAAAGTTACACAAGCTTGGTAAAAATACATGCAGAAGATTAGTTTAAGTTTGATTTAATGCTGGACTTTGACTAGACCATTTAAAGAAACGAATGTGCTTTTTAAGCCAAGCGATCCTGCTGCAGTTCTTCTTGTGTTGCAGGATGAACCTCTGCTTTCCTGTATTTACCAAAGACAGGCTTCACGATCGCGATCGTGTTTCATCATCTAAAGCTGATGTGTTGTGTCCCATTTCGTATGTAGCCTCAGTTTCGGTCTCATGTGACCACAGCACCTTGTTCCACAGGTTTGTTATGATTTGTTTTTTTTATGGCTTCCTTTTCAGTAATTCTCGTTTTCATAGTTTCTTGAGTTCAGATTTGAACACTGATCTCTGCAGCTCCTCCATATGGAAGTAAATCTGTGTCGCTGGGATTTGAATTAAAAATCCCACTGAAATCCGTGTATCATTCGTTCTTTCTATTTTCAATTGCCAATCAAAAAACAAAAAATAAAAAATTGACTGGTTATTTTGTTATTTGTTTTTTATGGTTAAACCAAAAACGAAAAAAGGATTTGTTTTTCATATATCAATTCTAAGCTCAGATCAAGAATACGAAATGGAAAAACGGACAGCAACGCAGAATTTGTTTTTAATATTTAATCGGTACAGTTTACGTGACCCGGAAATAGCTCTTTGCGCAGCAGTTGGGGTAATGAAGTGGCTACCATGGCGACGCTAGAACCACACACTATGTTGATCGAGAAGCTGTTTGTTGTTGCTAGTTAAAAGTACAGTGCACAGAAAAGTTTCAAGAAAAAAGTTATACCTGGAAAATCCTGCAAATTTTCTCCGTTGTCATGTCCTCCTCAAGAGTCACACGCTTGGATCCTCGAAATAAAACGTAACTGTCCATGGCTGATAGGTCCGACTGCCTTATCTGGTGCAGTTTGATCGAACGTGGTGGGAGTAAGCCAATTGTTTTTTTAGCTAACGCTCCACCAAACTTCCGGGTCATGTAAACTGTACCGATTAAATATTAAAATCAAATTCTGCGTTGCTGTCCGTTTTTCCATTTCGTATTCTTGATCTGAGCTTAGAATTGAAATATGAAAAACCAATCCTTTTTTCGTTTTTGGTTTAACGATAAAAAACAAAAAACAAAATAACCAGTCAATTTTTGATTTTTTGTTTTTTGATTGACAATTGAAAATAGAAAGAACGAATGATACACGGATTCACTGAGATTTAAATGTTGTATTTGTTCTTACTGTTTCAGTGTTAAAATATATTCAGAACACATTTTTGACCTAAAAAAAAATTCATTGTCATTATTTCTACACAGTTGAAATTTCATTCGTTATTTTCTCTTCAGGCTAAAAATTCACATTACTATTTTAAAGTGATTACATTTTCAATACTTAGTTTTCAGTTTAATAAAAAAAAAAATCTGCATATAAAAAAATTCAAACTCAATATTTTCAGCCTCCTGAGATTCAACTGGCTCTATTTCACTGTCTTAAATTCGGCGTCTAAGTTCATGTAAAAAGGGAAGGGTTACTTCAGGTCACAGACATTAGCAATGGATTGTGGCGTCCAACACCCAGCCAATCCCGTTACGTTTTCTTAGTCACGTGACGTGACGCTTGTGGCGCTCATACGGAAGGAAAACCAGCATGACGGAGCTGGTCACTCAAGCTAACGCTAACTCAACTACAGAAAAATGAAAGTAATAAACTCACTGTTGAGTTAGCGTTAGCTTGCATGACCGGCTCCGTCATGCTGGTTTTCCTTCCGTATGAGCGCCACAAGCGTCATTTCACGTGACTAACAAAAATGGTGCCGGCAACGCTTGTCGGTCGTTTTCAGCGAATACCGGTGATTTTAAAGTAATTTTAAGGGATAAATATGGCGAGCCATTATTTTTTTTAAATAAAAAATAATGTTTTCAACAATAATGTTTTATTTAGATTACAAAAATAAATCGTAATAAAAATAATCCTATTTATGATGTTTTAAAAATTAAGACCTATGAAAGACTGATTTTAGACATTTTAATACTAATTAAGGCCTTAGTTTTATTTTGAAGAATTCAATGCCTTTTAAGACTTTTTAAGGACCCGCGGGAACCTTGTCTTACGATCCTCGGCCATTTTTAAAGAACAGTGGTAAGAAATGCGAGTTGACTGGATAAAAATGGAGCTCACCACATATATGCACCTGAAAGTTAGCCTGCCCAGAAACATATTAGGGATGCAGGATATAATCGGCCCCCTATCGGTATCAACCTTAAAACTGAATATCGGACATCGGCCACCTTACCGATATTTAACCCGATATTTGATCAGCTTCGGAGTTTCTAAAGCCTAAAAAAAAAATAAAAAAACTACTACTTCTTCTTCCTCAAAAACGTATTTTTTACAGACATAAGAACTTCTAAAGACGAGGGAAAAAATATTGATACATTAAAATATCACAATATCTTCCTATGCTGATATATTGCCATTTAAAATTCATCGTTATGCTACAAAATCCCCCGAAAATTCACGAGATGTTGCCATATTTTTATATGTTGATATATTGACGCGGCATCGATCTATTTTACTAACAAAATCTCACAAGAATTTGCAAAATATCACGAGTTTGTAACAGAACGATGAAATTTCACGAGATTTTGAAAGTAAAATAGATCGATACCGCGTTTTTAAAAATCAATTTAATATCAGCATATGAAAATATATTTGAATATATAATTTTTCAAAGTGTCAGAAATGGATAACAAAACTGCTATTTTCAATGACTACTTATTTTTGTCCAGCTTTAACATCGGTATCGATATCGGTTATCGGCTACATGAGTTTTAAAATATCGGCATATCGGATATCGGCCAAAATCCCAATATCGTGGATCCCTAAAAAATATAGCTAGCTGGGGATGAGCAGGTACGACGGCCTTATATAAACATATCACCAGAATGATTGACAATTAGGAGGAGCGCTTATTTAGATTATCCACCCGGAAATAAAAGATTGTCCTCTATAGCAGGGGTTCTTAACCTTTTCGACCTTGAGGCCCAATTTTTATAGTACAAAGTGGCCCGGGGCCCATTATATATTAACACTGTACAGTTTGATTTGTATTCAATAATAAACCAAATCCACTTATTGCTTAACAAGCAAAAAAATTGTCTAATAAAATGACATGATAAAAGGGGATCATCACAAAAACTTTTATTAAACCATACCATACCATACCAGCTTTATTTATAAAGCACTTTAAAACAACCACAGTTGATACAAAGAGCTGTACAGTTTAAGAACACAACATAATAAAAATAATTTAAAAACAGTTTAAAAGCAAAAAAACATACAATTTAAAACTAGATCCCACTGGTGTTGAAAGCCAAGTAAAATAGATGGGTTTTAAGACGAGCTTTAAAAATGGGCAAAGAAGGGGCCTCTCTGACCTGCAAAGGTAAGTTATTCCATAATTTGGGGCCCATAACAGAGAAAGCCCTGTCCCCTCTGAGCTTCCTTTTTGTTCTCGGTTCCTCTAAGAGCAGCTGATTTGCTGACCTGAGAGACCGATGGGGTACGTAGGGATGAAGAAGCTCGGAGAGGTAAGCTGGGGCAAGATTATGCACCGATTTAAAAACAAACATAAGAATTTTAAAATGAATCCTAAAATATACAGGCAGCCAGTGAAGTGAGGCCAGGACAGGGGTCACATGCTCTCTCTTTCGAGTACCTGTCAAAAGTCGTGCAGCAGCATTTTGTACTAGCTGCAGACGTGAGAGCAGCGACTGACTGACACCCAGATAAAGTGCATTACAGTAGTCCAATCGAGTTGAAACAAAAGCGTGGATCAGTGTTTCAAAATGCTGCCTGGAAAGAAAAGATTTCACTGACGCCAATCGCCTTAAATGATAAAAGCTGGACTTAACCACGGCTCTAATTTGGCTGTCCAATTTAAAATCACTGTCCACCTTAAAACCAAGATCAGTAATAACAGGTTTAAAATATACCTGCAAAGGTCCCAGGTCAACAGAGGAGGACTCACAAGAGCCACTGGGTCCAAACACCATCACGTCTGTTTTGTTTTCATTAAAGTTTAAAAGACCTGCAAAGGTCCCAGGTCAACAGAGGAGGACTCACAAGAGCCACTGGGTCCAAACACCATCACGTCTGTTTTGTTTTCATTAAAGTTTAAAAAGTTCAAGGCCAACCAAGCTTTAATATCCCCTAGACATGCCAGGAGATGTTTGATTGAATGTACATCCTGCTGCTGTATGGGCAAATAAATCTGACAATCATCAGCGTAACAATGAAAAGAAATCCCATGTTTCCTAAGGATAGAACCCAGAGGCAGTATATAAAGGGAGAAAAGCAGTGGGCCAAGAATTGAGCCCTGTGGGACACCATAAGACATTGAAGCAACAGATGATTTAAAGCCACTAATATTCA